GTGAGTAGTGGGAGGGGGGGGGGGGGGGGGGGGGGCGGTGGTTGGTGATAGCAGCTGTATTGAGAATAAGGGAAGAAAGAGAGGGAGAGAGCAGTTTAGGCCTCTTAGGAACTGCTTTCTTTGGTAGTATAAATTTAGAAATGCTTTGAATATAGTTTCTTCTAAGAAATACTTATTTGGCATTTTAGATATGGCACTCTTGTAGTGCTACTGCAATATAAATAATTACCTTGACATGCTGGGCCACTGTCCTCTCTCCATTCACATTTCCTGCTTGTGTCTGTTGTAGCTGAAGACTTGATTTAAAATGAGGTTTGCCACTACCTGCGCTTCTAATTCCATCTGTTAGTTTGTATTATCAGAATAGCACCACTGGGAATGGATCAGTTTTATTTTCTCTTCTATTCCTCTGTTTCAAATTATTGAGATTGAATTGTCTCCCTGTAATGGCTGCATGCAAAACTTTACCTTTTTGTACTTTTAGGACAAATAGAAATTTTTTGTTGCTGTTTAATGTTACATTGATTAGATTACCAAGAGGTCTCAATTGGAACATGTGGTCCCTGTACAGACCAGCTATTCCATTTACGTAAAATGGGGATACCACTAATATCAGTATTGTATTTTCTCAAGGTAAACTGCAAGTTTCAAAGTCCAGTCTCTGTACCCAAAAGTATATGTTGCCTAAGCCAAGACTGAGGGCCAATATCACCATCAGACTACTACAAATGCATTCACCAAACTTGCCCTCCTGCATAAGACTTGTATCCTGCATTTTCACTGCAATCATAGACCTAGTAGGTGGTTGCCTGCCTGCTGCAGCCAATATATCAAAGCAGCCACCACACTGTGTGAGTGCAGAGTCTCAACCCTAGTTTCACACAAGGCTCTACGTAGGTTGACAGAATTCTGAGCTAAATTGTATGCTTTGGTATATATGGTTGTGACTATTTTCTTCCACTATTTGATCTGAGGAAGTGGGTCTGGCCCACGAAAGCTCATCATCTAATAAACCATCTTGTTAGTCTTTAAAGTGCTACATTGTCCTGCATTTTGCTTCAGCTACCCCAGGCTAACACGGCTACATTTCTATCACTAGTAGCTATAAGTTTTTGAGTGTGGTTAAGGAAAAGAGATACTTTGCTCTGAACAGCCAATGCAGCATAATCATAATTTATCAACTGTTAACACACTGTGGTATTGGAAATACTATGGTATTTTGTTACTGCATTTATCTCCGGTTTGCAGTGTACAGCAGAGACTGAGTGTAATGAAAGCTGATAACTTAATGCCAAACACAATGTTATGGTGATGTCACAAGTACCCAGACTGATGTTGGAAAAGAGCATATAGCTATAGGAAGGCTATAAAGTAAAACTGTTGCCACAAAATTGAGTTACTTTGGATTTGTGGCGAAAGATAGGAAAATGTTTTATTTAAGCCATGGAAGAATGGTTGCAAACAGTAGAAGAAACCATTTAAAAAACAAATCAAGTAACCATGAGTCTCTTGGCAGTAGACCAGTTTGGAAACACCCATGTCCTTCTGAAAAAAAAAAAAAAATCCTGTCATAAGTTACAGTACAAAAAATGTGCTGCCAATATAATAAAGAATAAAATGTTGGGTTTTATTTTCTACGTCTGCTAGAGAATCAGTAGAAAGGAAAGGAATCTTAGTCATGCTGGACTGGGCGATGATGAAGCTTTTATCACTGAGCTGAAATGTAGTTAAGCAGTAAGATTAAAAGTAAATTTGACATTGTGTACATTTCTCTCTTCATTGCCACTTGTAAGCACTGAGATGCTTACTGTTGGCATTTACTTCATGATATTTCACTCCTTTTGAACACTTACAAGATTATTTCATTTTACCAGCTTTTTAAGGTAGATAAAAAGATCTAACTTGTATTAGATTTATTCAGGTTTGCTATTAAACTTGTACTGGGGCAACAAAGCTTTCATAGGCAGGCATGATGTTTTGGCAGGGACCCAATAGGATATGTGGTCTGTGCCAAATCTTTTATTTTCTTCAGCTATCAATGAAGCTGTTGTGGTAATGTGGGTTTTGTGAACTGTGAGAATTTATGTGCACAAAGGGACTTGCTCTTTGCAGGGAACACTGAGAGCCCTGAGCCCAAGAGGAAGGGTAATTAAAGTTAATGAACCAGGATAACCTTTTCATGGTGGTGCCCACTAACACAATTGCAGACAAGGGTCAATAGCTGTTTAAATTCTATATCTCACTTTTAACTGTGCTGTTTAATTGGTACTAGATGGAAAGTTGGCAGACAGTTGTTATAGTAAACTATTGCATAATTTATTAAGTACTTTAAGTGAAGACTTAAAGGATTTTGAAAGGTGTCCTTCATTTAGAAATACTTTTACATTTTGAGAAACAAATTTGAACTCCTAGTTCACTAATTGATTTTTGATACTAAAAACCATTTTCTTTTGAGAAGATCGGAAACTTCAAAGTTAAAGCCAGTACACTAAATGCTTCTTAGTCCTTTTCTTGTCAGACCCACTGAGTTCTTTTTCAGTTCTCCTTTACGCAGAGTGTGTCTGCCTCTCACACCAAGAAGCTTCGTTCAGTTATGTCTGAGCATTACTGGCTGGGACACCTGTGGGAGCCCATTGTGTTGGGCATTAAGTGGTTGATGGGGTCATAGCTTAAATATGTCTCTAACTCTGACATTTAACTCTTGAGGGGTAGTAAGCTCTGCAGGAATGGGCTTGGAACTTCTGTAACTTGAAGTTATGAATTTTTCTGACTTTGCGTGGGTCTCCTCACTTATTAAATCTCAGAGCACTCTTTGAACTCTTAATTACCTCAGTGTTAAATGAATTGATTTTACACCTCCTGGGGAGGTGGCTTTGCTGTGGCAACCAAGCTTCTGCCTTGGAAGCGGGGCTGCTGGCTGGTGGCTGGTAGCTGGTAGATTTTTGGTGGTTACACAGTTACCTTTTAACGACTTTTTAGATCCCTAATCAGAATACCCTAAAAAATGGCTATATATCTAAGAGGGATGTGTCTGCCATTCTGAAAACCTAAATATTAGATAAACCGTGTCCTTACTATTGCTTTTGCAATTGACAAATGAGAGAATTTCATTTGGAAAGGAAACTTCTTGAGATTAGTATCCATTCCATATCTACTTAGTATGCATAAATCAATTTCCATCTTTTCATCCTCGGTAGATCATAAGCATGTTTAAGATCCTGCCTTTTCAAGGCATTCAAATTAACTATCTTTGTGTTTTTAAAAATCCACGTATGTTCTTCCATTTTTATAGAAACTGTTTATTTGTTCGGTGGCTGGGATGGGACTCAGGATCTGGCTGACTTCTGGGCATACAGTGTGAAGGAAAACCAGTGGACCTGTATATCTAGGGATACAGAAAAAGAGGTATGTTCCCCCCAATATTCATATTACTAGTATCTTTAAATGTGTCATCTGTTACAGAAGCATGACAAGTTTTCTAAATGTAATACTTGTGTTCGAGTATTGCTTGCATTAAGATTCAGAATTCAGATACTGAAATTCTATTTGACTTTAGAAGTGCTTTTTGGTCAATTTTAGCAGCAGCTGAATTGGGGAAGCTGGGGGCAGAGCAGCTCCAACGGTCCAGCTGGCCGGAGCACTTCCGGGTTCCTGATGGTGCCGGACCATCAGATGCCGGACCATCAGAGTTTTACTGTACTTAGAATTTATGCTAACTATTAATACTAAGAGACCATTCAAGGTGATATGGCCTGTTAACACTGTTAGTCAAAGAAGGGAGGTTAGTGGGCTATAGATTGTTGTAATAAACTATACATCCGGGATCTTCATTTAGACCATGATTTTTAGTATTGAGCAGTTGTGATTTTAAACTCCCAGGCTTATTTTTGAAAGTGTGCAAGTTTTGTTTGAGGGTGAGGGTCAGATACTGTGTGATTGCTTTGTGAAAAGTATTCACCCAGAGGCGATGGGTGTCTTTATCTTGTATCTCATTCCATTTCATTCAAGAGTATAGTGATTGTCTGGTGTCACCCACATAATTGTTGGGGAATTTAGTGCAGGTGTAGGACTTGGGAATCTTGAAAGGGGTGTGTGTGGGATGTTGGTCTTGAACAGTGGAGATAATGTCTGCTGGTTTTGACCCATTTTAAACTGGTGGGTTGTGATCTCTGGGGAGCTTGCTCTTGTTAATTAAGCTGAGGGGTTGTTTGAATTCCCCACTTCCTTAGTTAGTTTGTTCTAATAATGGTTAGTTGACCTCACTGTTTAAAAATGTGTGCCTTATTTCTAATGTGAGTTTGTTTGGCTTTAACTTCCAGCCATAGTTTTTGATCTTTCTCTGCTATATTAAAATTCCTGTTCACACCCAGTATTTTCTCCCTGTGATGCTTCTTATGCACTGTAATGAAAGTCACTGCTGTTGATTTGTTGATAATCTAAACAGATTGAGTTTTGTAAGTCTCTTGCTGTAAGGCATCTTTTTCCAGCTGTGAAATCAGTTTTGTGCCTCATAGCTGGATTCGCTCCAGTTTTTAAACATCTTTTTAAAAATACGAACACCAGAACTGTACACAGTTCTCCAGTGTCAGTCTCATATCAGCTGTGCCATATACAGAGGTAAAGAAGCAGGTCAAAATATGTGAGAGGTTTGTAGGAGTAAAATAACATGGAATTGTTGAAAATATTCAAATAGATTTTAAGAGAACTCAATCTTTTCCCTTCATATTGTAATTTGCATGTGTGTTATTTTTGTGGCTTTAATTCTTATTTATTTGGTATTGGTTTGGTTAGTCATAGTATTTACACTAAAACCGTTAAGCTAGCATAAGAGCAGAAAGCCGTAAACATCCCATTAGCCAATATAATCTCAAGGGTAATGTAAAGTAAACCAGCTCTAGAACAAAGAGGTCTAACTATAGGGGGGATGATAGTGGTCCATGTATTTGTTTCCTAGCATTTCCATTGTGAAACAACTTTTTTAAAAAAAGCTATCGCCTCAATTGTTTGCAGCAATCCTTTGAAATTCATTAATGGGAGAGCCGTCAGACTAGAGAAATGCCTTCTCTTTGTCTTATTAAATTCCATTCAATTTTAGTTGAGTTAAACTGTTAAATTATTTTCTACCATTGGCCCTGTCAGCAAAATGTGGGCAGCTTGCCAAAAAACTGAAACACTAATGTTCTAAAGAGTTAGGCCCACCCAGCAGCAGAAGCAGATAATGATGTGCATAGAATCCGGGGAGTAGACAACCACGCTGTTGCCAGAGCAGCTGAAGCGTACTGGAATGAGCCGGGA